GCTATCGTTGCAATATTGTTTCACAACATCACCACCAAATCAATCAGCGGTGGAACAATCTCGAGAAAGACCCGATAAATAACTCGGGAGGATATCCGGATCAACCATATCCGATATCCGATTCACTATATTGGTGTATTACTGAGTAAACCTCACTATGTGTTTTTATCACAGACACCCGTATTTCCGCTGGTAAACATCGGCTTATGTTACTTTGTTAAATATTGACTAGGCCTATGAAAACAAGACATGGGGATATTATAGTTTATTTGACATAAGGTATGCACATGTCTTTTGTAAAAATCAGTTTCGCCTTGTTCTAACCCTAATATGTTTATCTCGACATTTCGTTATCTCGATATTTTTTGGACGGTCCCAATGACTTCGAGATAATGAGAGTCGACTGTATATATAATGTGATTTCCAATGTCAAGTCTGAGACTTCCAAATGGATGGCCAGTGGACTTAGATAGATGGAGAAACAAACAAATCAAAAGTATTAGCCTGGCTTAGTTTATATATTTTTACCCGATAAAAACACAGGCTGATTATTGACATATCTTACAATACATACTTGGTAGGTGGTGTCACAGATACTTAAGATATTTAACCACAAATTTTTGGCCATTTTCTGACAATTTTGCAGTTTCTGATAACACAAGGATTAAAAAAATTTTTTAAATAGAATGATTTGAATTAAATGTTAATATTGAAGTTATTTATGAACATTTTTGTCAAGAAACTAATAACTGAGATTTATCAGAGTGATGTTTTGAAATTGAATATTTATATAGAAGTGGTTATAAAATTTAAATAATACAAGAGGGGAATAATAAATTTGCCTGAATGATTTGAAGCCAGTTTTTAACAGAGTTTTTTAATTCTTTCTTTAAACACTGACTGGCATAATCTCTATAATAATCAAACTGGTTTTAAAAAAAAACAATAGGGGGAAAAAAGACGAAACGACCTGGCTTGAGAGAAGCCATTCGTAGATAAGCGGGGCAGACATTGTGAATTAAAGAAGCGTATTTGCTGTTTAAGTGGATGATATTATTTGGGTATTGATCCGTGAAGATATTATGATAAAAGGCACAGCCAGTATTGTTGATTTAATTCTATTGGAAAAGACGTATTATATGTCAGTACATTTATGACTTAAGCGATAAGAATACGACTGCACTTTATAACATATTTAAAATTTTGAAATTACGTATACAAGTTTTGGACAAATTCCCAAAGAAAAATTTGTTTTCTATTTTTAAAGCGTTTGAAAAAAAATTGTGTACTTGTGGTGAATATAAAGAACGTGTACGAGTGACATTGAAAAATAGATTGTGTTTACACATCAGTGTGGAGTGTATATTTATTTTACACAAGTTGAATTTTACACTGAATCGCGACTTTAGAAATGGAGAATATTTCTATGTGTTTTATATCGTAAAGCCGAAAATATGTATACTTAACTTGCCAGACATAAACTGATAATGGATCTGTGATTTAAAAAAACATTATTTATTTGTTTTGACAGTTTTATTGTGTGGCAGGGAGCTTAAATAACATATTTATATATATATATATACATATATATATATATGTATATATTTGATATTATATAATTATATGAATAATAATTGACAGTAGATATCGGATATATATATATGAATGAAAATGGATATACATCAGTTCCAGGAATTATTCGGATATCTTCCAAATATACACACAGCTGGTTCCTCCTTGTATGTATTTATAATATACTTGTAATATTAAAATATTTGTTCTCCTTTAAATGCTAGGGTAGTACACTATTTAGAATACTGTAGTTCTCTTTTATCAAATGTCAGGTTTTACTGACATTTTGTCAAAACTTTTTGTTGACATTTCGTCAAAGATTTTTTTGCTGATATTTTGTCAGAAGTATTTGGTGACATTTTTGTCTAAAAGTTTTGTTGATATTTCACTGTTTTTTTATGACTTGTTTAAGGTATGATTGTTTATAAACAGCACTTTGATGGTGTTGTACCAAAGAAGAAGTATGGGAGAATTGGATATTTAGTGTGTTCTTTAATATTTAGGCATAACTGACACACAATGATTTGTCAGATTCGAAAAAATTTTTTGTCAGTTTCAAAGAAATGTGACACAGGCTCAAATTTTAATCAGTTCAGTGGTTGTCATGGTGATTCAATTCAGTGCTAGTGTTTTAGTAATGTCAAAGTGTGTGAAAAATGTGCAGTCTGACTAGAACTTGAACCAGAGACCCTCGTAATACCTTGACTAGAACTTGAACCTGAGACTCTGGGAATACCTTGACTAGGACATGAACCTGAGACCCTCGGAATACCTTGACTAGGACTTGAACCTGAGACCCTCAGAATACCTCGACTAGGACTTGAACTTAAGACCCTCAGAATACCTCGACTAGGACTTGAACTTAAGACCCTCAGAATACCTCGACTAGGACTTGAACTTTAAGACCCTCAGAATACCTCGACTAGGACTTGAACTTAAGACCCTCAGAATACCTCGACTAGGACTTAAACCTGAGACCCTCGGAATACCTTGACTAGGACTTGAACCTGAGACCCTGGGAATACCTTGACTAGGACTTAAACCTGAGACCCTCGGAATACCTTGACTAGGACATGAACCTGAGACTCTGGGAATACCTTGACTAGGACTTGAACCTGAGACCCTGGGAATACCTTGACTAGGACTTAAACCTGAGACCCTCGGAATACCTTGACTAGAACTTGAACCTGAGACCCTCGGAATACCTTGACTAGAACTTGAACCTGAGACCCTCGGAATACCTTGACTAGAACTTGAACCTGAGACCCTCGGAATACCTTGACTAGGACTTAAACCTGAGACCCTCGGAATACCTTGACTAGGACATGAACCTGAGACTCTGGGAATACCTTGACTAGGACATGAACCTGAGACCCTCGGAATATCTTGACTAGGACTTGAACCTGAGACCCTCGGAATACCTTGACTAGGACTTGAACCTGAGACCCTCGGAATACCTTGACTAGGACATGAACCTGAGACTCTGGGAATACCTTGACTAGAACTTGAACCTGAGACTCTGGGAATACCTTGACTAGGACATGAACCTGAGACCCTGGGAATACCTTGACTAGGACTTGAACCTGAGACCCTCGGAATACCTTGACTAGGACTTGAACCTGAGACCCTCGGAATACCTTGACTAGGACTTGAACCTGAGACCCTCGGAATACCTTGACTAGGACTTAAACCTGAGACCCTCGGAATACCTTGACTAGGACATGAACCTGAGACTCTGGGAATACCTTGACTAGGACATGAACCTGAGACCCTCGGAATATCTTGACTAGGACTTGAACCTGAGACCCTCGGAATACCTTGACTAGGACTTGAACCTGAGACCCTGGGAATACCTTGACTAGGACTTGAACCTGAGACTCTGGGAATACCTTGACTAGGACTTGAACCTGAGACCCTCGGAATACCTTGACTAGGACTTAAACCTGAGACCCTCGGAATACCTTGACTAGGACTTGAACCTGAGACCCTCGGAATACCTTGACTAGGACTTGAACCTGAGACCCTCGGAATACCTTGACTAGGACTTAAACCTGAGACCCTCGGAATACCTTGACTAGGACATGAACCTGAGACTCTGGGAATACCTTGACTAGGACATGAACCTGAGACCCTCGGAATACCTTGACTAGGACTTGAACCTGAGACCCTCGGAATACCTTGACTAGGACTTGAACCTGAGACCCTGGGAATACCTTGACTAGGGACATGAACCTGAGACTCTGGGAATACCTTGACTAGGACATGAACCTGAGACCCTCGGAATACCTTGACTAGGACATGAACCTGAGACCCTAGGAATACCTTGACTAGGACATGAACTTGAGACCCTCGGAATACCTTGACTAGGACTTGAACTTGAGACCCTTGGAAAAACCTTGACTAGGACATGAACCTGAGTCCCTCGGAATACCTTGACTAGGACATGAACCTAAGACCCTCGGAATACCTTGACTAGGACTTTAACCTGAGACCCTCAGAATACCTTGACTAGGATTTGAGCCCGAGACCCTCGTAAATACCTTGACTAGGACTTGAACTTGAGACCCTCAGAATACCTCGACTAGGATTTGAACTTGAGACCCTTGTAAATACCTTGACTATAGGACTTGAATCTAAGACTCTGGGAATTCCTTGACTTAAGGTCTTGAACCTGAAACCCTCGAAATACCTAGACTAGAACTTGAACCTGAGACCCTCGGAATACCTTTAAGTGGCTCTATCGGCTGAGCTATCTGGCCACTTACAAATTTTCTCCCCTTAAAAGTGAACAGTTCTAAAGATTAATATTTTTTATTTGTTTTGTATATTTACAGGTCAGAGGGATATATTTTTGTATGTTTTTTTGTATATTTACAGGTCAGAGGGTAATATTTTTGTATGTTTTTTGTATATTTACAGGTAGGAGGGTAATATATTTTTGTATATTTTTGTATATTTACAGGTTGGAGGGTAATATATTTTTGTATGTTTTTGTATATTTACAGGTTGGAGGGTAATATATTTTTGTATGTTTTTTGTATATTTACAGGTTGGAGGGTAATATATTTTTGTATATTTTTGTATATTTACAGGTTGGAGGGTAATATATTTTTGTATGTTTTTGTATATTTACAGGTTGGAGGGTAATATATTTTTGTATGTTTTTTGTATATTTACAGGTTGGAGGGATATATATTTTTGTATGTTTTTTGTATATTTACAGGTCAGAGGGATATATTTTTGTTACTATATTTTTGTATATTTACAGGTTAGAGGGATATATTTTTTGTATGTTTTTTGTATATTTACAGGTTGGAGGGATATATTTTTGTATATTTACAGGTCAGAGGGATATATTTTTGGGTATGTTTTTTGTATATTTACAGGTTAGAGGGATATATTTTTGTATGTTTTTTGTATATTTACAGGTTGGAGGGTAACAGAATGAGTATACCACATAGGATCTTGACTACCGATGGTACACAGAAACAGTATCCCAAGTCCCTGACTGAGTCAGACAGTAGCGGGGACTATGTTACTCCAGGCTCGTCTATGGCTGACGTAAGTTGTGATTTTATATAATATAATGATATATGCCCCTTTATGTAATATAATGATATATGCCTCTTCCTCTATATTTCCTGGTATGTTGCCTGTCTAACAGAGTAATCCCGGTCAAAGGGTGGCCTCTTATACAGCATAATAGTCCTAAATTGAAAGTGGAAAGTGCCTGTATCACCAGTGCATAAAGCGCCAGGCCAGCCTGCATACCCTCATCCCTACAGTCCGACCCAGGTTCTATTCTGTTTTGATATCAAAATCTGTAAAACTTTGAATTGCATTGGTTAAATGCTCCAAATTTGATATCGGGAAAAATCTTTTACGAAAATTTAGCAGGTTTTTGACAATCGAAAATGTAGTGCAGTTTTGTGGTGATTCTGGTTCGGTCATAATGTTTGAACTTTTTCTTTTCATCTTATGTTTACAAACCAATATTTATAAGTCATTATAAGCATAAACACTTATAATGTGGCTGTCATCTTGGGTGTAGTTCTGTCACGGCTAAAGTATTGTATTTTGCGTAATGTACCAACTATAGTTGCATTAGTCTTGCGCGTAATTTTTTACTTATAAATGACCTTACTGTGAGGCTCGTATAACAGTACGACATAGACCGAAGTTCTAATATTACAGTGGTACTCTATGTAGTTTTCAGAATGTTCGGTCCGACCCATAGTGTCGTATCATAATTCTGTAAATTCTATGAGTTACAATTGTTTTGCGAGCAATTTTGAACGTAATTCATATCAAAGTGTATCTAATAACAATCTTTTTGTGGCTTTCATTTCTGCATGGTAGAATGAATATGATATATACTATAATTACGGTTTTATGGTTAGGTAATATTTCATTACGTACAAAATAATTACATATGTACTGTAATATATTTCTTCCATTCAATGCAACATTGAATTTTGACAACGAAGTACATGTATGTAATAATAGTAGTATAGTATTGTTGGTTTAAACATATTTATTTTAGCTCAATTGCAAAACAAGTTCTTGCAACTTAAAAAATATATTAATCACTTTCGAGTCCGCTTCCTGAAACCAACCAGTACTGGTGTCATATTAAGAAACATGGTTGTGACCCAACTAGGGCTCGAACCAATGATCTCTGGGTTAAGAAGTAGACACCTTAACCACTAGGCCATCGCTCCCCTTTTAATTAAAGTATTGTTGCTTTTAATGTATAAGAGATGTGATGTTAATTAAGCAGGGGTTGGTTGTAAGAGGTGGTAGTAAAAATATAACATTTTTGTCAAGGATCAAATTGATATAAGTGCTTAATTCTTAAGCAGGCAGCATATTTGATAAATATTAAATCTGTTAATCTATTTAACAGACCAGAAATGCCCTGAAAGCTGTATGGAAAATGAGTTGGTAGTTTTTGCTAAGGCCTCTATGTGACCTGTAACAAAGTAGAGTAAAAGTTCATGACAAAAAATAATTACTTCACCAAACAAATGCCGGTTCAAGGATGTAAACTTGATGAAATACAGTATATAAGATATAAGTTTTCTTGATTTAAGTAAATAAACATTCATGCACCAGTCTGCACATACATTCACTAGTCTGTACATTCATTCACTAGTCTGTACATTTATGCACGAGTCTGCACATTCATTCACCAGTCTGCACATTCATTCACCAGTCTGTACATTCATTCACCAGTCTGTACATTCATTCACCAGTCTGTACATTCATTCACCAGTCTGTACATTCATTCACCAGTCTGTACATTTATGCACGAGTCTGCACATTCATTCACCAGTCTGCACATTCATTCACCAGTCTGTACATTCATTCACCAGTCTGCACATTCATTCACCAGTCTGTACATTCATTCACCAGTCTGCACATTCATTCACCAGTCTGTACATTCATTCACCAGTCTGCACATTCATTCACCAGTCTGCACATTCATTCACCAGTCTGCACATTCATTCACCAGTCTGCACATTCATTCACCAGTCTGCACATTCATTCACCAGTCTGTACATTCATTCACCAGTCTGTACATTCATTCACCAGTCTGTACATTCATTCACCAGTCTGTACATTTATGCACGAGTCTGCACATTCATTCACCAGTCTGCACATTCATTCACCAGTCTGTACATTATGCACTAGTCTGCACATTCATGCACCAGTCTGTACATTCATTCACCAGTCTGCACATTCATGCACCAGTCTGTACATTCATGCACCAGTCTGTACATTCATTCACCAGTCCGTACATTCATTCACCAGTCCGTACATTCATGCACCAGTCTGCACATTCATTCACCAGTCTGTACATTCATGCACCAGTCTGCACATTCATTCACCAGTCTGCACATTCATGCACCAGTCTGTATCAATCGGCACATTCATATATATGTCAGTACAACCGTACCTGAAACTTCATGTCCAAACCATCTGTACACATCTATTATAGATCTGTTCTAGTTTGCATACACATCTATATAATGCAATCAGAGAAGGCATACTGAAATATCACATGGTGTTACCGCCATATAAATGAATAATGCGGATGTTTCTAACTTCAAACTTTTACCATTTCATATTAAATGTTGAATTCTTAGCTAGGTGGTGAGGATGGTAGCTTGCATTTACCCCAATTGTCCATGAAAAAACTTAATCAACATTTTCAATTTTACCATTTTGGACATTCTGTAGGGAATCTTATTTGTCTGTATTTTACTGCAGAAATACTGGAAACTTAAAAAAAATCCAGTTCTAAGCTGATTCTAACATGATTATTTTCTTTTTATTCTAACAGAAGTTTATTTAGTCAATAGGTAGTTTTAGGCATGTTTCCAATTCGAATTGAAAACAACCTTGTACACATGATCTGGTTTCTGTTTACGTGTCAAGAATGATTCATTTCTATAAATAGAACAGAATTTATTTGCCTTAAAGGTGTATTTTTTACTAGTTATTGTTGTTACAAACATATGAATGCTGTAGTTATAATCATGAACTTATTGGTAGATAAACTCCATCATTAAATTTTGTCCAAGTAAAATAATAATCATAATTTTGCCGTACAAAATAATCTATTTGAGTAAAAATATATCCCAAACAAAAAATTTTATCGCTTAATAATATCACTGTTTGGAGTTCGGATGCGAGGAATTATATCACGAAGGCATAGCATGAGTGATATAATGATGCACATCCGAATGACAAACAGTGATTTTATAAAGCGATAAAATCACCGATTTGGATATATTATTTCGATTCTAACACGACATCAACAAAATAAATGCTGCCGTACCTGATATTAAGCTAAATTGCGCCTGATTTGTTTCCGTTGTTATTTTCAGAGCGTCGCATTTTATTGGTTACGTCATATGTCTAATGATTACGTCACATGTCTAAATATAGAACGTCAACAGTGATTTTATAGCATGATAACACACACTTTAAGCCCTTCTATGTTCAATAGGGGAAAAAGGGGAGCGTGATTATACTGAAAAAAAATTTAAAATGTGTTCGGACTGAGTTTTAACTGTGTTTATAAAATAGCATACTCAAAACAAAAACAGATTATATATGGAGATATTTAATTAGGTTTTTGGCATCCTGCAAGGATACATGTATCTAGTATATAGAGATGTTTTTATTTTTGAAACACAGTCATTTATATCTAAAAATAGTACCAGTTATTGATTCTAAAAATAGACCAGGGTTTCCCAATGATTACAGTACAGGTATAATATGTAAGATAAAAGCCTTGTTACATAATAAACATGTCACTTATGAAACACCTTTAGATTTTTTTTGCACTGTAATGTCATCATCATGGGATCTCGACTATAGATTTGGTTTTCCATTATTTCAACATAATAATACGCAAATTATTTCTTTATCTTACCAAAGAAGTATAAATTAATTTTTAAGATTCATCCAATTAGTGTGTTAATTAATTACGTTAAAAAAACACCTTTAATAAAAGATAATGTATAAATACTAATTATATAATTTTGGACTAGACTAAAATGTTAAAGGTATAGGTAATCTTATTATTTTGATTTATATAGAAGACTTGAGGGTATCATATGGTATAGATTTCTTCACAAATTAACTCCAGGTGTGGCTATAGCAGACGTAATTTCTCTATGTCAGTTAGGCTATGTATGTCAGTGGAGATGATAATATGTACAAATGTTTTTTCTTGATTTGCCAGATACCTGACAGACTAATGAAAGGCGAGCAAACAAAAAAAAAGGAAAAAAAAAGAAAAGAAAAAAATTAAATAAATGTTTTTTTGTTGTTTATAGTGCACAAATAGAGTGCTATTGGCTTTCACGGGAACGAAAACATGCAAAAATTAGGATTATTTGTTATAAAAGAAGTGAAATGTAAACAATGCTGAAGTTACTTTTTACTTCCATTGAAAATACTAAATGACACTATATTTTCACTATTAACTGCCGAAATGCAACAGTCATGAAAATGTATGACTAATGAGTTTCTTTTTGTAAAATGTAAGAAAACATAAATAAGTGTTGAGGCACGGAGGGACGGACGCACAGATGGACGATGTGATTTTGATATACTGCCCATTTGGGGGCATTCAGATGAAAAAAACTTTAAAGAAATGAAGAAAAAAAAGAAAAATCTCTAGGCCTTTAATGTTTACTGTAAAATGGTTACACAATTAAATTACATAATTCAAACAGGACATGTGTGTTTAAGTAAATAAATCAATCCGGGAAGGATATCTTTAGATTTCCATAAGTTTCTCGCATTTGTTGAAATATTGTTTACATAATGTTAACATAAAAATTATAGAGAAAATTGTGTAGATTTCAACATGACATGATAATAGGTGTTGGAAGGTTAACATTGACAGAAACCGAAACAACGAAGCGAACTATGTACAAAATCTTTGGCCGGGTTATTCCCCTAAAGCAGTGGAATCTATTTCACCTTGTACAATTATAACACAATTTATAGGGGATATTCAAATAAGGAATACAATTTTTATA